TCCGCCATGCCAAAGATACAGAGGAACTAATCGGCACCACATCATCTCCAGTTCTTACATTCCACGTGGCCAGGTGGCCTGCAGCAATTATTTTTGTTACCGGCTTTTGGTTTTCGGTCCGACAGCAAACTCTAACTTGTTTTTTAAGAGTTCTGACAGAACACGCCTGATTGTGAAACCATTCGCACTTTAACAGCCCATTTGATCTTAATGATGTCTGAAATCAGAAAGTTCTTGAACCAGCCGATGTGGGCGCTGGGGCAGAGGGGTTTTAATGGTTACCGAAGAGGTCCACAGGAATATCCCAGACTGTACATAGGAACTGTTGCCGAGTTTTTATTCTCCTTTCAGATTAGCTTTTAACCAAAATAAAATGAGTGAAACGCTTTAGACAAAGATGTTAAGGAGCTGGGTTTTTTTTTCCAGAGCATTCACTGTCATGGAGCTGAATCAATTGTGATTCAATCGAGCATCTCTTCATGATAGGCTCAGTTTCTGTGCAGTCTGCGATTAGCACTGACATATCGTGAGGGTGGGAAATCTTTATTAGGGCTTATTTGCGCTGAGAATTGCTAGTGTTTGCTTCTGTTCGTTGTGTGTGAAAGTCTCTACCTCAGGAGCCCACCCCCACCCCCCCGCACACCCACCTTTGAGTGCTTTATGTGCTGTGGGTCGAAAAGAAAACCCATTTCCCATGTTAGTCATCCTGGACAGGTTAGCCATGGAGCAGCAGAGCGGCTGCTTTTGGGGTTAATGGGGAGCCCGGCCCGGCCTCAGGCTATGCAGAAGTGCTCAGCCATGGAGCATGAGTGTTGACTTTTGAATGGGCCATTAATATCGGGCCACTTCAAGAGAGAGAGAGAGAGAAAAAAAACCGTACACATCAAAAAAACAAAACTGGGGCTTTAAAAGAAAGCAATTCTTGAAAGAGGAAGAAGAGGCCAATGTGTAGGCCTCGAGTCTTGTTTGATTTCGGGAATGCTTTCAGGACTTCCCAAGTGACTGGCAAATCCCCCTCCCCTACATACACCCTTTTTACCTCTCACTACTGTCATAAAATCAAAAGAACAAGGCCCTGTCACGGCCCTAACACTCCTCCCATCGAATGTGGTAGCAGTCAACATTGTGTGATGTGGGCCACCCACCCGTTTTTATAGAGAAAGGTAAAGGCACTACGTATCTATGAACTACTTATTAAAAAGGCGTCGGGAGTGCATTTGTTTTTCTGATCTATGCATCCATTCTTAATCTGCTTTTCCTGACGCGGGGCCATGGTGTCTTTTGTGATGTTTTGTTTTAAAATATATATATATTGGTCTAACGCGTTTGATATCTCAGACTGCAAAACTAGCACTCATCCATAACTGAAGCAAAATCATTTTAATTGACGAGTTACCGCTTATCGGATATTATCTAAACGTTTACGCAATAGGGATTACTTCTGCCCTCTGGCGGACAATCTTTATTACTGCGTTTCTCACGAGTGCCTCGTTTACTTAAAGGAATTCTGATGACTAAGCAACTTCCCTTCACTGCATTATCATTGCTGTTTTGTTCACATCCCATTTTTTTTACATTTCTAATCAATTATCATGATAAATTTGTAAACAAAAGTGAAGACGTACTATTGTCAATGTATTCTCTGCTTTTCGCATTCAGAAGGTTAAAAAATATAAAAATTCCGTATGTTTGTCAATTAAAAATATAATAATGTATCCTGTACATATCAATATCTTAATTAGAACAAACATTAAATTTGGCAAGAAGTAAACGTCTTACTGCATAAGTGTATTTGTACAAAGCTACTTTTTAATTTGTATTGTGTTATTGTGCTATGTTAAATGCACATCTGTTAGTTATCCAAATAATTTCAAGCCACATTTAGGTTAGTTAGCGGCCTAGGGGCGGAGCAGCAGCTAGGTTAACAAAGTACGCGTGATCTAAAGGTTAATTTAATTACTTCTACATTACATGCTTTGCAGATCTAGAGTTGAGCTCAAGAGCCAGCTTTCAGCATTACACACATCGCCCAAGATTTGTTTGTTTTTTAATCCATGGAAAGAATATAGCGTTGCAATTTATTAGCAGTATTATTTTTTTGTTTTAAAATGACCGTAAAGACATTTAAAAAGGGGAGCCTATGGCGTTGTTGAATTTGCTGTAATTGCCTTTTCTGTCCCAGAGAGTAAAGACGCGCAATTTGTATGATTTGTAAAATAAGGTTCTTCAAAACAATTTATAAACTGTATTTTCAGTCATGTTTTTTTATAAAACGGTATCGGGGGAGGGGGAAGCTAGAATCAAAATGATGTGCAGTATTAAAACAAGGCTTTAGAATTGCTTTCATTGGTTTGTATTCATTACTCTTGGAGATAATAGTGAAAGTAAAATATCAAACTTATATTTTTTATTTGTGTTGGTGGGGAGTTGCACATCTGTTTCAGAGCTGATAAGAGTTTAGATTTCTTAAAATAATTGTAATTAAACTTAGCGGAGCTCTTTGCGTTTTCGTCTCCCGGGGGGTATGTAGAAATTTTAATTTTATGATCCCTCTCATACCGTCATTCACGCGCTACAACGCTAGATGTATTTGCGCTTTTCATGTGTTCGCATAACCAGCTGAACAGCTGAAATCAGCAACAGTCACAAGTAACTCGGCAATGCCAGATAATAAAGATACAAGCCCTGTATTCTGTGCGAGAGAACGAAACTGGGAGTCCCAGTGTCCAGCCTTTCTTTACAAAGACGAGAAGAGATGGTACCTGCATGTTTGTCTTTCTTTGCAAATAGGTGTTTAATTAACTCGAGTACCTGCAAAGAGCAATTTGCATCTCGGGCATTGCAGTCTTTGGTATAATTGATTACCAGCGATCAGTCAAAAGTAGACTAACCGATGTCTTTCAATTTGAACACTCCGTCCTGAAGGACATTTAATGGGTGCTGAACGGTGCCAGCTTTAGTCGCTTTGGGGGTCAAAAATTACTTTTGTGGACCTTATATGGTTGCGCTAAATTGACTGGCGTTCGTTACTTTTTTTCAGTCGGTGAAAATATAGCTCTTCTCATTTAGGAAACAAAATGTTAATGGCAATTATAGGCTTTGATAAGATAAAGAAAAGATGGACAGCAGCGAACGAAGCAGGAGCTTCACATCGCAGGTTTACAGTAAACTTCATCCCTGCCAATCAGCTAGGCACAAGAGTCTAGGAGAATAGGATCTTAAAAAGACGAACTGGCCGGTTCTCAGGTCTGTATGAAAGGTAGTGGTGTTTTGTTCTCCGAAGTTGGTCCGCGCGGGTTCAGCCTTTTCAATTTAAGGAAGCTAGAAATTATTACCTGTGTTTACACAGTAGAATAGAACGAAATTCGCTACATACAACATATCACACTGAACGTGGCAAATCTAACTTTGAAAATATTGTTTATATAGGATTTTTTTTTTTCAAAAGAATATAATATTACTCATAAATCCTCTGGTAAGTGTAAGGTTTGAAGATCCTTGTTTAAAACAGCAAAATGTATATATGGTGCTGCTTTAATTGTAAAGCTCGTGGATTCAAAAAAACATTTGAGCATACTTAATGATGGAAGTTCAGCTGTGCTGAATTCTTATGCAAGATATAATTTCTCATTTTTGAAAAAAAGTTGCAAAAATGGGAACAACCCCTCAGAAATTCATATAACTATTGCGGTATAAGTATTCTTAATAAATGCATTTAAATTTAATCGGCTTAATCGTTGTTTTGGTAAGGCTACAATACTATTGGCTTCTGGTTTTACGAGAATAATAGATATTAACGAGGGTAAAAAAGGCCGTTAAACGCCACATCGCTCTGATTAAATCAACTTTGCAGCCCGTCATTTAGCTAGAGGAGTTATTAAACAAAACCGTCTGGGTTGGCTTGCAGTATTAAAAAAAAAAACAACAATCATGGATACATTCATCATGACCTGAGCCATCATTTAAGAAGCAATGATAACTTTCCTTAATAAAATGGTAGTTTAAAGTTAATGTCGTTTTTCTTGAAAATATAGAGTCTCTCAATGAAAAAAATTAGAAAGTTGCATAATGTATCTTAATTTACCCTTGGCCCTCATTCAGCGTTTCATTTTCCTTGACGTGAAGCATATGAACGCTATCGAGTTATTGAACGACAAAGCTTCTTTTCTACTCTTTGCCTGTCCTATAGATATAGACAAGCTACAAATTTGGATTAGCCTTATCAATAGTGAGTGGTATGGAATTAAGTCCTGATTACGAAGTGTGAGAGTACTAGTGTCAAAGACACTAGATTACACTGGATGGAAACTTTATATAATTGGGGATTTAGAATTGGGTCCTTTTCCCCTTAATGTGTTTTTAATAACCGTTCTCCTTGGATTGTTCTGCGTTTCTCGTATCATTTTGGAGCTCCAGCAAGCGTCTTAGAAAATGTGAAAAGACGAGGCGAGAACAGGGCAATTTAAATAGTTGAGAATGTGATATTCCTGGGGAGGCGTGAGTGTTGTTGTTTTTTAAAGCTGTAACGTTTGTAATCCCTTTAATACGTCTCACACATTTCTTTGGTAACGTCACCCCAATACACAAGTCGGCTTTATCAAAGTGTTTCTGCATCAACTGTGCATCATTATTTTCTTTTAAAAATCATCAGAACTTCATAATTACATGTACTTTTCTTTTTTGATACTTCAAACAAAATAGCTTACGCTTGTCAAGTTTTAAAGTCAGCCATATAAGATAAGGCTCGAAACGTGCCTTTTTTTCCCAAAGTTTTCAAATTAGGCTACATTTTTTTACTCCCGTTTGGAAGATTTTCCATTATTTAGGCTTATAGTCAAATGTATCGCCGTCGTAAAATATGTTATTTTATCTAGCGAACGTCCATCTAATCCCTCTGTCACACTCACAAAAAAGTGTATCTTTTCAGGTTTCATTTGAAAGCATTGACCTTTGTATTTTTTCGTTTTACCTACATGCGTTTTTTTTTATTTTGGATATGTTATAGCTCCTCCCGTTTTCACTGAAGTGTTCGCTTTTGTCCAGGTGAAGGTATATTTTGATTGGGGGCAGCTATTGTTCTAGAGCGAAAGAAAAGGAGGCTGGTACGGAGGATCTTCCTACCATTTTAATCAGGGGTGCAGGCGTGAACAGGGGGTTGACATTGGAGACTGGAATGGGAGTAGAGGAGGGGATAGGGACTGGATAAGGACTCAGTCAAACACTGCTGCTCACAGAAGCAACATCACCCAGGGCTACTATTACCAAACGGGATTGCGAAAACTGCCACTACTGACCGACTTCAAGGAAAATCACTACAGGATCCTAACAAATTTATCAGGACAGTAGAAAAAGAAGTGATTCACCAAACAGAAACGCCTCGCCAAGGATTTTTCTCTGGGAAAGATTTTTTTTCAGTGTGGTCGTGACACGTAAAATACAGTACTTACTGCAACTAACTCTGGGGAAATACATTGGAGGTTTTTATATATGCGTATTTATTTCTTTTCTACGCTCTTCTCTGCATTTTCGGCATCAAGCGTTTCGTCCAGCTCTGAAAGGTGCTTCTGGTGGATACACGTTGTCCACGTTTTTTATTTATATATAATTTTAAATTATTGATATAAATTGACTTTGACGCTTTTATGAACAATCAACGTCCCATTCTGTCAATGAATTAAACCTGTTAGGGGGGAGAGAGTATAACATTGGATGATCCTTGTCTTAAAACGGATTATTTCTCCGCTGTCTTCAAAGACATTGATTTGATAGATATTTTCTTTTTTTCCTGTCACTCTTATCTTCTCAATTGTTCGTTTTTTGTGGGTTGCTGAAAATTATAATATTTCACCTTATTCTAACGCAAGGATTAAGAAGAAATAAAAATACTACGACAGTTGCCACTGGGCTGAACAGTATCTCCCTTCAGTTGTTTGTCAGATAAGAACCGCTATCTCCTGCAAAGGTACTGAGGGATTCTTGAACTATTTCAATTGCAGAAGGGGGCAAATTTGTCATATTTTAAATAATCTTCAAGGACAATCAGGCCATTCATTTGTTTCTACTATTTCAAAGCAACTTCAAAATGAGGATCATACCTTCAAGATTAAGCTACCTGTAAGTACATTTGCTTTATCCTTAATTTGTTTATAATGTTTCTGAAATGTTTTAAGTATTCAGCTATCTTCTTTTCTTCTCTTCCAGGATACTTCACCTCCTCGCTTTATGCTTCCATGCTCAGGTATGTCCCTACCAGACTCTGCTTTTTAATTATGTTTTAGAATATTGTATATGGATTGACTTTGTTCAGATGAAACGGTTGGAATTAAGATAAAGTAAAAGTCAATATATTATTTACGTTTGACTATAAATCACTTGAAACGTTTCATTAACTTTGTCAGAGTATATGTCTGAATACACAATATACTTTGGTATCAGAGCTGTCATCCGTGGAGGGCGTAAATATGGCATTTGTATTAAATTGTCATAATGACATCAGTGAATTATCAGCATATCGCTTTTCACGATATGTACAGTGAAACATGTTTCTAAGACGTCAGGTGATTCTTAACGAAAATAGTAATAAATATTGGAGTAAATATATATGTTTAAGGAAGTGCACTGTTATTCTAGAATATTAATGACGTGAATGTGTGTGCCTATATATATATTTGTCTGCACACACATCTTGAAAACCCGTATAACTAGGAGAAAAAATGCGATTGCTAAAACAGATGGGACTGGCGTATGGCTGAAAAATTGACAGAGGATCGTTAAAAAATACGGCACAGGTAGAAAGAGAAGAGGGTGTAAGATCATTTTATTGGTAGGATAACAATATATCAGATGGAGATCCTACTGAGTGAGGACAGCGGTCTCGCCACATGCTGTACTCGTCACAAGCTGGCAGGCATTTCTCTAACCATATTGCCCCTCGTCTTAAAGGAGAAGCTAGGGCAGAAATAAATGTGCCAAGAGTAGGTTTGTGGAGAAGGTCAAGGGGGGACTATTAAGGCCAGTTTTCATTCACCAGTCCCCGTTGTTTCTTTAAAGCAGACCTCTCAATTTGACATGGGTTATTGGGAGTCCAGCTTGATATCTTCTCTATTCCTCGAGTTGACGTGAAAAGAGAATCACCCTTGAACATTTGCTCAAAATCCATGCAAAGTACACTGTTCTTGTAACAGGTTTAAAGATCAGCCGTATATACGGTGCTAATCTTCTGAGACAAACCGAGGTATCCTGCACACGGACTGCTAGTATAAATTCCTATTTCATATTTCCGGACAATACAATCTCGGTTACAGTGATTTTCTGTTTCCTATAAAAGTTTTCCACAAGACAATCCATATACAATGTCCTGTCTTTTGTCTTTGAACTGTTTTTATATTAAATGTACTTTAATTCTAAGATTTAGGTCATTATGTAGGGTACGCATGTATTTAAGGGCAATCTCTTTTAAGAATAAGAGTCAATTTGCTTAAATCCTTACACTTATAGTTGAAGAAAATATACATATCATTGTATATAGTTATTTTTTTTTTGGGGGGGGGGGTGGTTCAGATATTCTTCAAGAGATATGTAAAGGTATGTTGTATATTTCTTTTCTTAATTTCTTAAAGGTAACCATTCAGTCCTCGCCTAATTTTACACAGCATGTGAGTGAACAAAGTAAGGTGACTGACCGGGTGAGCCGTAGGCTAATTCGGACCTACCAGCTGTACAGCCGGACGAGTGGCAAGCACGTGCAAGTTCTGGGGAACAAGAAAATCAATGCCATGGCAGAGGACGGCGACGCACACGGTAAGACCTCTGGTATTTCAAATACACAAATGACCCTGCACGGGGGAAGGGCCACCCAGAGATCACTCTCAAACATTTATGACTGAAACTTGCCATAGGTGAAGCAATAGAGGCTAATTGATTCAGCTTCATCAAATGTGGTTGTGAACACAGCGCGTGTTTTAATAACATGAGCCGCTGGAAAGTACATCTGTTTTGTCTAAGTCACTAGAAGTAAGGGGTTATTTTATTTGGACAATATAAACAGAGCGCTCATTCTTACGTTGAAAGTGCATTGGGCATATCATGCTAAAGGCAGGATCTAGTCATTTATACTTTATACCCTGTTTCCCTTGATTTGCCAGATTGTACGTGTTATTTCCGTATTATTCCTCATTTCTCATAATGTTGTATGTCTGGCATTAGTTCAATAAAACAATTACAAATCTGCAAAGTATGCATAATTGCAAACATTACACATTAAAGATCGGTATAAAATGTGTATAGGACAATTGGCTATATAACAAAAGGTGATAACAGGAAATTATATAAAGGTATACAATACCTAATGCCTCACTTTACTAAAAATGAATGTGCCTGAGGTGTACTCTTTTAATGTATAGACATTTTTTTATTATATATAATGATATCTTTTAAATTAGATAAGACAATAGCTTAAATTTATGAATAATTATTGAACGCCAATAAAATAACAGAAGGCGTTAGAACATAAAGCATTTTTCTGGAGGGAAAATGAACCGTATTTCAGCTGTTGAAGTTGAAAAGAGGCCGCCGACTGCAGAAAATGTTAAAAACGGTTTCTAGATTATTCTGAATGCGATTCTCAAGAGAGAGCAGTATGTCTGGAAGAATCATTAGAACTCATCTTACTTTAACCTTCTGAACATTTCCTGACTAGCTTTCCCCCTTCTTCGGGCCAGTTTTAGGATCAAATATGTCTAGCCGCATTTTAACCTCTAGACTAACAGTCTTTTATACTTTTTATTAAAAGATTTTGTATACCTTGTAAGAAATGGAGGAAACAATCTTAACCGCCCAGCAGGTTCATTGCGCACGGGTCTTATAATTGGAATAACAAAAAAGGCTGACGTCTTGACCAGTTATGTTTAACTAATAAAAAGCCATGAAGACATTCCCATATGTACCCCTAACCTGATAAATTTATTACTCAGAGCGGTCCATGGTAGAGAAAAAAAATGTCACAGTTTGTTTTCCCAGTCACACTTTTTCGGGCGACCTGAATTTGCACACGTGCTGGACCATGGATGGCACATAAAATAATCACAATTAAAATCTGGCATTCACTTGATTCCACTCGAGTAAATCTCTGAAATGTTGGCATTAGCGAAGGATACCCGTTAGCTCGGCGGTCATCACCGCCCAAGTTAAGCGTGAAACATAAATTCAGTTACCAGTAGTTGTGACACCGTTTTGATGTAGCATTTAATTGTAAATGTGTGCTGCTGGCTGGTTCATTTACATTTAAGTGTGTTAATATTGACAATAAATGCAACGATAATAATTATCATAATAAGAAACACACCCGTTTACTTTAAGAACAATCTGGACGAGGGCTGATACGGCAGAAACGATTGCGGGTTTAAATTTTCTGTAGTTTTTCGGTGTTAAGCGAAGGCCACTTCCTAAGCATGATCTCCCCTTGCAGTCAGTAAAAATCAATACTCTTTAGACCTTTTACTGCCTACGTGATTGATTTTCCTGCCGTTCCTAGATAGAATTAAGGGACATTTTCTCACTTATTCAATTAAAAAGCTGGCCCTCGCGCTGGTAATAAACATGCTAATAATATTTACAAAGGGTTTTCTCAACAACCCCACACAGGAAATAAAAAATAAAATTCTAATTGTGCTCATTTTAATGAAAAACACATCAGCTTTGTAGAGGACATATATGTAAAATACTTCTAGAATATATTCTTACCAATTTCCTTGCCTTTTGCATTTATTATTGATCATTCAAATTTACCCTAGCATAGTCTTTGTAAGCATTTTGAAATCAATACTCACTTAAAAATGTGTTTTTATAATGGTGCCGATTGGTAGTTTGGGTGTGTGTTCTTCCATATGACTGCAATATAAATGAGATTATGAATCAGAGTTAATTTTTCTCTGCTGCATGTTTAAAGAGTTGCATCATCAAAGAACTCCTCTAGTTTGTCCATCCACACACTGTGGTGTGTTTCGGTCTGCAGGGATTGCTGGCACTTTAGAGTTGGAGGCTTTGAATAAGAGTGCAAGCAAGTTGGCTAATGAAGCTGAAATCTCATATTCCCTATTGTATCTGTTTTGGGTGAAAACTACAGTCAGGTATTGTTAAAGTTTACCCGGTGCGTTTTTGGCAATGGCAGCTTCGTGTGTCTCCCTTCACACAATATAGAAAATAATCAATGGGAATCTTAAATGATCCTTGTGTAAGAAATGACCCAGATTTGGACATGGGTGGTCTGGCGGAACGCATACGATGTCGCCAGACCTTTTGTGGAGGTTAGAAAGGTGAATGTGTCCTCAGATTGAAGTGGCAACTTGAGGCGGCGCGGGTTCTTCTGAAAGGGAGAAAGAGGAAAAAGCCAGAGATCCAGCAGGAAAATTCCAAATTACTCCAAAAAGATCCGAGGTAATCGGGTCGGCCTAGTGACTGACCCACCCCCCTTTGCCCTTATGTTTTGAAGCGCCATTGATTGGGAATTTGCATTTCTTTTGTTTGCAACTCAATCAATGGCTCCATTAAAAACTGAGACTAAATCAATAGCTTCTCTTGACTTGTATAGACAAAAAGGTGAAGCACACTTAGACGGGTTTTTCTTTCCTGGCCTGCATGTCATTTGCGACTGTTGCAAATGACAAGTTGCTGAAGGCGTAGGCCAGATCCACTCTGCCGGCCTGTCTCTCCTTCTGGGTTTGTCAGGAGAGGAAGAGAGGGTATTTCCAGAGACTGGACCCCCTCTCAGGTGGACAGTTTGTCCTCTAGGTAGCATTTTGAGAATCATAGGACAGGCAGAAATGTCTTTTCTCCCCATACTTCTCTCTGAATAAAACAGTCTTCGGTAAATAAACAAGTACAAGGGTGAGCACCTGCTGTCTGTAAAGCATTGAATGAATCATTTTATTTTCACTTGTGTTTAATCTTTATTTAACCAGCAGGCTCCCATTGGAGATTAGAATCTCTTATTTCAGGGAGGATCTGGTCTTGAAGGTCATTCAATTAACAAAGATGCATCGCTCCATTATTAACAAAAGCAAGGTAGTGACATCTCTCAATTAAAGTTTAGAATTATCAGGCAAACCCAGAACAATATCTCGTCTGACAATGACTTACAAGAGCTGAAACTCTAAATGACAAAATAAAATCACAAGTTTTTGGTCTCTATTAGGGTCTGATAAAGAGCTTTATTTCCTGTAACAAATCTAAAATCTAAAAATCCCTACTCCTAGCACAGTTTCAGATTATATTTAATACTATAATGACATCTTTTCCACAGCTAATTTATACACAAAATAAACAGCATTTCTGTTTCCATTGTATAGGTTTTCCAATATAAGTTTTGGATAATGAAATATTACCTGATTTCGAGTTGTATTATTAATTTTAAATGTCTCTAGAACAGAATACTACTCATGTGAAGTGTAACATTTTGGGTATTTGCTGTAGAAATATCACTACTGTTTTTCAAGATCTTTTTTTTTCAGAGAGCATCAATTTAAGCTTAAAGTTGGATGTTTGATAAATTTCGGCATACATTTTTCAGTATTCTTTAAAACAGATCAATTGACTCTAATCAAGTTTTTTTATTGTGATAAATTCACAACAAAACTACACTCAGAAAGCAAAGTGTAATCATCATTTCTTCATAGGTTTAAAAATCAGTAGTTTTTAAAGGAAAACAGCTTATGGTATGTAGTAATTATAAAGGCCATGTAACATTAACATGTAACGGGGGGTTAAAGGACATGTTTTGAAGTCTGTGATGATTTTTATCTTTGCTCATTCTTTTGAAAAATAGTGCCACTTTCCTATGGTTAAAAACATTTAGAAAGAACAAAGTTTTCTATTCCCAAATTCAACCAAAGTTAGACCTGAGATAGAAGTATAATGTACAAAGTAAAAGGCTCATTTCAGGAAGTGGCAGGTCTTCAGAATGTCTTTTTCTTTGTCAGAGAAGTGTGCTACACATGTTTTTATCATTTTAAAAGAATTTAAGCTTGCATAAATCCTCAGGTATTACAGACAGGCCGGAATGGTCCCTACAGATTATAATGTGTATATGTGTGTGCTTTAGTAATATGTGCATATTGTTAAAGAGAGCAGTGGTTTGTGGTGAGGGTTTAAAATTCTTTCTGAGGAGATACACAGTTACCACACTAAGGGGACCCCAAAACAGACCCCTCTTGCCCAATCTTAATTGGTAACTGATGGCAACTGTACATTTAATTAAACCTTGGGTGAGAAGTGTGAAGCAGGGGAAGGGTTGCTTACTGTTTGTTTTTGAAAATAATGTCATACTTAAATAATGTCATACAAAAAATACTTTTCTTTTCTATCCCTAGCCAAACTCATAGTGGAGACGGACACATTTGGCAGCCGGGTTCGAATTAAAGGTGCAGAAACTGGATACTACATCTGTATGAACAAGCGAGGGAAGCTGATTGGCAAGGTAGGTAATAACATTTGACCCGATTCCTTTCACATATCTTTTTATAAACGTCCATGAGAATTGCCAAATTCTGACATTTGGTTCTTTCATTTGCTAACAAAATCTAGAGGAATTTCACCTTTTGAACAATGTTTACCCTTATAATTTACTCTCTTTTCAAGCAAGTATGCTTGAGGTAATGTAACACACTTTACAGTACAACATGATGCAGCAAGGCATGGTAAATCCTGCATTCTGTCTGCAGAAAATTGTTAGAGTTGATTGGTATTGCTTTTAATGAAATTTGTGCTGTATCTCAAGGGAATGATAAGGATTTAATCTGCCACAGATAAGCAGTAGTCAAATAAATAAAAAAAGTGCAAATTTATGGTCACATTCATGTAATTCTGTATTGTTTTTGCAAGCAGCTCTGACTTGACCTTACAGTCACTGTAAAGAACAAAATTTGGCAGAACTGCCCGCATTTCTTTTCTAAGAATAGAACATCTCTTTTCTTTTCCTCTTAAATAAATTAATAGCTTTGCAGCTTTGCTATTGTCTCCAATTACATGCTACATCTACCTGCTGCAAACAGAGCTTTTTTATCTAGCACAATCTTCCCATTATTCATATTTATTTTTTACCTAAAAAGGGTCTTCTAAGCTTCATTTGTAATTGGTTTCGCTCATGTGTTTTAATCCTGAGCTTCACGTAGTACCCACAACAAATAGACTTCAATCTAATCTGTATAATAATCCATCAGCAAAGCTCAGTTTATATTTTTTTCTTTCACTCTGTAGCACTGTCAGAACAGTACTTGAATGTTCCAAAAGACGCAAAGGGAAACACTCTGTTTTCTATTAATGGGATTAAAAACGAGATGGCTTAGAACCAGATTGTGGGGTAGCTTTTTGTTTCTGTTTGTTGTCATATGAGTAACACTTTTAGTCATTTACATAACTAGCAGCTCGGTGAGCTCCAAGTCTGTATTTCTCTGCTGCTCTCTTTTATTGGTTGCTCTAAGGGTGACAGGATGTAAGGACTTGGATCCTGCCACATTCCTTTTCCAAGGGCTCTTTTTTCCAAGGGTAGATTTGTGCATCCTTCTTGCTGTGATCGGTAATAAACTCAGATGCAAATGCTCTCCCTAGCTCCACAGCACCCTGCCTGAGGCACCATCTGTCTGGGACCCTGATCTTATTCTAAGTGACATCTCTGCAGTTGAAAGCAGAATGTATCGGATTGTTCTGGGAGAGGTCTATGTGTCGTTCTGTTGATACATGGGCTATTTTTAATAGTCCCATTGTGCTAAGCGGTAGGAGATAAGGTTCCACTCTTCATTCAGCTGATCGGGGCAGTGATTACAAATTTGGTCCCACGTGATGCATCAACCATCTCTTAAGTGACCAAGAGAATATAGAGTTTATGATGACTGTGATAATAACAGTCCTACTAATAATGATCATAAATAATTGCATT